AGTAATCTATAATGCGATATAATAATTCGAAATTAATTCATTCAATAAACAGTTGAACCTCGATATAACGAAGGGATTGAGCTGTTAGTCCCAAATTTTTCAAAATTCGTTATATCAAGGTTTTACTAATAGTTTCATTATATCAAGGCTTATTTAAATTTCGTTATATCGAGGTTCAACTGTAATAAATTTTCGATATATAGCAATATTAAAATTATGAAAAAATACACTATATCGAGTCACCTTTTATTAGTATTGAACAAAAATTCCGATAAATCGTCATATCGAAAATGAACAAATACCTTTGCAGCCAAATGCACTATTACATCTGCCTCATTAACACCTTCCCTTAATGCATTTTCGTCATGCATGTCACCTCTAATTATTCGAATTCTTTCTTTACCACTACGAACATTTCCAGCAGCTTGCAATATTTTGTCGTCCGCAATGGTAGAGCGTGATAGAGCAGTTATGAGAAGTTGGGGGTCTTCCTTAAGCGCGTATTCGATAAAGTTATGCCCAAGATAACCCGATCCACCCGTAATAAAGATTCTCATAGCTCTGATGATACAATTAACGCGAAAAGATTTTTTTAATACTTAAGAAGCGATAAATACTCGTAGTGTGTGAAACATAATTCGAACAATATTTTTTTAAAGACCCGAACAATGCACGCTGCATGATTTTTCTCATTGAGTTCTCATTGGGTTCACAACGCACATGATTCACACGTGGGAATAGTTTATTTTGGAGTTGCACAGTAGGCTGCTCAACAAATTTCTCTTACTGTACTTTCAAGGACCACTATCAGAATCACCAAAATGGCAAGTATTCGTGAAGAGACTGTCAATAGCGCTGTTAACTTCCTTAAAGATCCCAAAGTTCAAAAATCCACTCTTCAAGCGAGAGTTTCTTTTTTGGAATCTAAAGGTTTAACCTCTGAAGAAATTGAAGAGGCACTTCGTCGTGCTAAAGGTGGTGCTCCGTCTAATGCAACCACGGTAGCACCTTCTCAGCCTATACAGGGAGCAACTCCTGGGCAAGTGATATACGCTCAGCCACCACCACCACCACCACCGCCTGCAAAAACGGATTGGCGCGACTATTTCATTGCTGCTGTTTTGGTTGGTGGCGTTGGATATGCAATTGGGCTTGTTTTCAAGGTTTTTTTTTTAGTTTCTTTGATTTTACCGTTTGACAGATAAATTTCTGGTCCAAATTACAATCGGATAATTTTCAAATGCGATTAATAGAATTATCTTCTCCCATTATTAAAAACACCGACGGCTAACGAGCTTGAAAATGATAAGCAAGCTCTCAGTGATCAGTTCACATTTACTTCAGAGCGACTAGATTTGGTAAAAACTGACACGAATATCGTCAGAAGAAGCATTGAAGAAACCTCCTTAGGTGTCAAAGAAGCGTTAGAGTCATTGGATACTGTTTTGAAAGATCTGAAGCAACAGGAAATCAAAAGGGACACCGATATCAAGTCATTGCAGGAAGAAATCAAAACTATTCATGAACTTATTCCCAAGGTATTAATTTTTATTTTGATTTTCATATAGATTTCATCTTTACTATTGATTTTTTCTCTATTTCTTTTTTCCTCTTCATTAAATTATCACACATAGATTCTTGAAAAATCAAAAGACTCTCAAAATCAAGCGCTCGCTGAATTACAAAACGAATTGAAATCACTGAAATCACTAATTATAAATAGAAGAACTGCTCAGACCACTTCATCTATCGGTGAAATTGCCGCAACCGGTTCAAGTTTCTCGCCTTCCAATACTTCTTTTCCCTTAACGTCATCTTTTCCCGATGTAACAACTAGCGGTAATCCAGCGATACCAGCCTGGCAATTGCCTAGCAATACTACTAATAGTAGTAGCAGTAGTAATAATAATAATAATAATAGTAATAATCATAACCATCATCATAATGATGATGATAACAAGAATAATAATAATAGTGTCTCTTCATCTAACGCAAACAAGGAGCAAAGAGTTGATCAAACCTCTTTCGACAGTTTGGGCGAAACAAATGGCGCTAAATCGGTTGTTGAAGCTCCGTCAGACATAACTTCATAATATTCTGTATATTGTCATTGTCCGCAAGAACATGTATAATAACTCTAGAATCACAGACTTATAAAGTAAAACCTTTTTGGGATTTATCTTTTATTCATGAAAAATCACAAGTTGAGGTCATCATCACCAAAAGCCACATTTCGAATAAAAGAATTTTGACATTGCCACATATTAGATTAAGTGCACAGCATCCGAGGGCTAACTATTGACCCAGAAATCTAAAATTTTAACCAAAAAAATCCCATTCACGAGACAACACAAGTTAGAACTTTAAACGTTTCATAGTAATTGTGCGTATCCTTATTAACAGCTGCATAGATTTCTGTAATGGCCGAAAAAAAAACAAAACGCGCATTACGCACAATATTTCTCAAACATCAGTGAGACAGCTTGCCCTATAAAAGATCAGTTCATAAAAATCCGATTACAAAGCAACCTGACGATAACATGTCAAAATTCATTAACGCGGGGATAACGCACCAATCGATTCAATTCTAGTATGGTATGTGATTAATTTTCACTAATGATCGAATTTATTGATTCTGAGTTCAGAATTAGATTCTGACACGCGCAATGTAAAAAAAAATGTACACAAAAATACGGCTTTGTCATGCATGCAGCTAGTATCTGTTGTGTTCTGGTTGTGCTCGGTAAATGAACAATCAAATGTATGTATAAACAATAACTTGCGTGAGAATACGTCCAACTGTGTTGCGCATACGGAAAAAGATGAAATGATCTCTCCCTACTCATCTTTATTATTACCTCTTACTACGGTAAGAAGAGTGATGAAGTCAACAAAGGTTATTATATATATCATCGAATTTGATAGTGCGCTAATTATTGAAATGAGGCTTCAAAAAATCTATTTATTACATAAGAATTTGATATACCCAAACACACGAAAAAAAAATATATTTACTGAATTGGAAGTTATCATTTCTTGATTTCTTTTTCTGGTTACTACTGTACGCCTATTTTTTTTACTAAACTAAATCCATCTTTCTTCAATGTGTGGGTGAGTACTAAATAAACTAACCACACGCACACCTTTTTGCTGATCATTTATTATAATCTGCAAGCTGCAGATTCAATCAAATCATTATCATCAAACACATCAGCGTGTGATGCATCATATGTTTCCCTCTCTTTTTTATCGAATTAAATAATAATTTATGATATTCGGTCAACTTTTATATAAAACCAGGGACGACCCACACTGTGACAAACTTGCTTTTCACGACCTATGTCTTTTGGTTTTAAAAAATAACAAAGTTTCACGTTGTGTCTCTATATATATTATATAGAAATATATCATTATTACGATATAATATTATTATAATAATATAAAGTCACAACAACAACTAATTGAACTGGAAAACCTATGAACATGGCGGCTTTCAGTGCATTAAACAAAAACTCGAAAGAAATTACCGACTCGTAAGTATGATAACTCTATCTCACATAATCATACCAAAAAACTTTAACACATTCGACTAAATTTTACCAGAAACTGGGACTTAAAATTACATCTCGGCGTCACTTTATTACGGAACTTTTTAAAACTCGGCAAAAATTTCACCATAGAGAAACACCAAAAGGTTCTATCTCGAGCACATTTTCCCTCGCCGCCTTCTGTTTCCGTACGCAAAGCCACAATACCCGAAACATGTAGGTCACAAGCCGAAGATATTCTGGCCGGTCTATTAAGTGGACAGGAGGAAAAGGTTGGTTGGCGATGGAGAGAAGATCCAATCAAACAACGACCATTACGTGGTGAATGGGTTGAATCGAAAAAGCGAAAGAAGCGAACCGCAGTCGACCGTGTCATTTTGTATATTCATGGTGGTGCTTACTTTTATGGCAGTGCTGCGCAACATCGATTCTTGATCCAAAAGGTAGCAAAATATGGTGGCGCTAGAGCTTTAAGGTAAACCTATATTATCATATTGATATGTTATATTTAATTTCTAATAGATTATCCTTATATCATAAAACAGTATTGATTATCGTCTAGCTCCTCAATCTCCCTTCCCTGCTGCCTTAGTGGACGTCTTAGCTGCATATTTCTATCTGATAGATCCACCTGCCGATGCTGGATTTGAACCAATAAGTCCAAAAAATATAGTTGTGATGGGAGACTCGGCTGGTGGTGGCTTAACAATTGCGTTAAATATGGTTTTACGTGACGCTGGTCTTCCAAAACCTGTTGCAGGTGTATGTTGGTCTCCTTGGTAATAATTTTATATATTATGTCGTACGTTTACATCTCTTAAACCAACAAACAAATGAATAAATTATTCCGCTTTAGGGTTGATCTATTCCACTCATTGCCTTCATGTTATACCAATGCTGAAACAGACTACGTTCCTAATGGGTTCGTGCACAAAGCGTCCCCGGCAAACCCAATAAAAGACTACAGAGACATTAAACAACGATTGGAACGAGTTCATTATTACGCGCATAACTCTGCGCTAGATATTCCGTATGTTAGCCCGATCTTGGCTAATGATTTAGGTGGCCTGGGAAATTTATTTATCGTAAGTTTCATATTAAATATCTACCCTGTATACTTCTATGTAATCTTATAATGAATATAGATGATTAAGAGAATTTATGTGATTTAGACATGCGGTAAAGGTGAAAGATTACGTGATGAAGCAATCCTATTTGCATACAAGGCAGCAAAAACGCATCCGGAGGTATTTGACATTAAAAAAGAAGGAAGACACCCATACCCTCCGACAAAAGTCCATCTTTATGTTTACGAGTAAGCGTGTTTTTTTAATTACTTGTCTTCCAAACTAATAGAGATGGTAACAGTTAAATTGAATCTATTTCCAGTGCAATGCCACACGTCTTTCAAATGTTTCTTTTCCATCCAGTTGCTATAAGTGCAATCAAACAATCCGCCATATTTATACGCAAAGTAATACCGGAACCACCCACAGCTTCAACAACCCAATCACAGCATCACCCTGCTGAAAACGCTAGTGATAGTTCAGGATCAGACATTTCGTTGCTGGACGAAGAAGATGAGAATCTTGAAGATGAAAATGAAGTTCTGGTTCAACGATATTGTGATATTAAAGGAAAAATCCGGGAGAAAAATGAAAAAGATGTTATTGCTCCTAGCGTTTTGAAGGAATGGGTGAAGCTGTTGGGAAAGTTCCCAGATTTCAAGGCATATCCCGAGTATTTAGAAGTATAACAACAACAACAAAAACACCAATAACAACAACACCAAAACAATAACATTATAAGGCATATACAACACATATAATATAGATATTTATTCTCGTGTACGTTGATCGCACTAGATCCTTTTACATATTTTACCCTTTATTTTTTTTGTGGGCGTGGGGATTTCATTTTCCTTTTTTATTCAAACAAACAGACA